TAAATTAAATTCCTCCAGGGGACCCTGGAGGTCCTGAGCTGAGTTAATCCTCCAGAGCAAGGCAGTGGCCACTGGGACACACTCGGCCTGCTTCCACCACCCCTCCCTCTCACCAGCAGGCTTCCACTGAGAAGCACAAGTGATGACTTGCCAGACACAACCACTGCCAGAAGCAAGAGTGAGAACTTCAAATGTTGAAACTCGCCCGCTTGGCCGACAGTAAGTCCAAGGCAGAGGAGGAGGTAATGAGCAGCAGCCACCTCTCAAGGTGACACTAAGGCTTAATATCTCATCCACAGATAGAGAGAGGGACCCCTGTCCCAAAGGGCTTGATGAGGTTCCGATCCGATCATTTTTCTCAAGTGCTTACCCAGAACCTAACATGGGCTGCTTCCTAACAATTACCTTTTACTCACATAAAAAGATTAATTTCATTAATGTGTGTGACAATGGAATTCAGGTTACTAAATATCTACTTATTAAACTGAGGTTAGCAAATACTCTTTTCAATGAAGATAATTCAACTGTAAAACTCATATAGCTCACTGTAATTCAAAGATAAGGAACTAAGAAAACAACATAAAAAACAATGAATCGTAACAGTGATCTAAACTAGAAAATAACTGAAAAGCTGGGAAGTATGGCAGCATGCTGTAATGATACTCTGTAATATTTTTTCAAAAGACTGTCAGGAAGGTTACTGTAGCCTAAAATTTAGCTTATAAATGTTTTGTTTTGTTTTATTTTAAGAGCTGGAAACAATCCTCTCAAGAAGGGACCCATCTTCTATGTTTGTTTCAAAAACTAAAATCTTCTGAACATGAGACTGGCCAGAAGCATAAGACAGGACTTTGGTATTAAGGGAGACAAAGTAAAGTGAAACTGGGGGTACAGGGGTCGTGGAGTTCATAAAGCATGTATCAGCCAGAAAATGTTAGGGCATGCACTGACTCTAGAACTTTGCAGAACTGTAACATCTGCTACCAAATTTTAAGTACTGTAGGTGTTTGGTATTCTTTTGATGTATTTTCTCATTTCATCGTCACCCCAAACATTCAGAAGGGCCTAATAAAGGGATAGTGCTTACTTGAAGTGGTATTTGGAGGAATCGAGCAAAAGGCACATTAGAGCTACAGATCAAAATAGGGAACAAATGAGTCAGAGAGAATGATCATCAGAAAGAAATTATGAAAAGGGATGACCATGATCATGGAAGCCTCTTCAATTTGCAAAC